GACATGAATCCTTCAATCGAACTATGATAGGGTTAAATGGTTGGCTGGTTGTAAAATGTCGACCTTCTCAGGAATAGCTGTTTTTGTACCGTTCGTTGCTACACATTCTAAATCGGATTTGTTAACACGATTTTACGCACGTGTTTATGATATTCCTGACAAGGTTATCGAGACATTCGTCTCTTCGTCTTTCAGTCTCTGTGTAGCTATTGGCTCTCATCATCTATCATTGATTGATGTCTTACTAATGAATTTCGATCTTTTCACTTGGACGCTCTCTCACTATGGGAATCAGTGACCTGCTTGCCCTCTCAGTAATATCGAAATGATAAAAGACTAATCAGGTTCTATAACTAGGTCGAACACCGTTAAGGGATGTCGATAGGCGCAAGATAAGCACCACCGTGGTACCTAGAACAGATCCTACGACCAGTAGGACAGTTTCAAGGTATGATACGAACTTTCGAAGCCGCCAGAGATCTCAAACGAAAGACAGGCCTACAGTGAACGCGACTACAAGGCCTAGAAGACCGCCAGTGATCGACTATGATTATTACGAGGACGAGGTGCCGATTGTCATCGGCAAATCCGTCCTCAACAGTAAACTCTTCCTCACGAGTAAGGGTACCATACGTTGCATGGACCAGGGCAACTTCCCGCATCCGTACTCGTGTAAAAAATTCATCACTTGCGCTCGTATGGTGAACGGTCAGGTGATCGGAACTGAGTACACTTGTCCCGACAAACTGTCCTTCGATCCGGTCGGCGGTATCTGCAATTGGTCCGCCGGTCTCGGTTGCAAGGACTAATAGAGCTTTGCTTCAATCACTCGACAGTTCAATAGAAAGAAGTTATTTTATAGGTTCGATTACATCAATATCTTCTAGAATTCTCTCTCTTTTGTCTTTATTATGCGACACTATAAACTGAAAAAAGATAGTAAAAGTATTAAATTAAGTTTAATATTGATACAATTGAACCAATCTCAATTTTATTTCTTAGAATTAAATATAAACTTTATGTTTTCTCTGCATTTATGTAGATAATTTTTAATTATATTTATATCTCTTATATCTTCTAATTATATTTATATATTAAGGCTGTATTCCAAAATTCATTCAATGCTGAGAATCTGTAGTATATGTAATGTAAATTATAAATTTTTAGCGCTGGCAGTAAATTTGGAATACAACCTAAATGGTACACTATTTATTTCCGTCATACGTGGAATATCTTTAAGAAAATATGACTGTCGAGTGATTATCATTGCGACGTCTCAGAAGACGAATTTTCGGATACGGCGAATCACTTGGCTTAAAAATTAAGAAAAAGGAATTCCTAATATTGCAAAATAAATATAAAAAATTCTATTAATAGTAAGTGTAAATCGACCAAGAAATGATCAATAAGATAAGCTAAGAAAGTCATATTCGGTCACAGCAGATTGTCTTATGATTTTTGTGCCTAATGATTTTTATGTGAATCTTATAACTTCCAATTCAAGCAAACTGAATTTGGTGGCGTAATATTACAAACTAAATTGACCAGCAATTTAATAAATTTTTTACAGCATTTTTTAAGATATGAATTAGTATCAGATTATTATTTGTTTATCAATTTATTATTAATTATTATAATTTGTGATATTACATTTTCCAATTTTAATTTAGGACTGTCCCAGTGATAAATGATTGTCAATTAGTCGTTGAACGACATCAAATTGACATCGAAATTATCATATCAATGTTGATTCGATATCAATTCGACCAGTCATTTCTTAACTGCAGTGTTTCAAGACCGACAAATAATCGGTGCAATTTGTTTGAACCGGAAATTATAAGATTTATGCAAAAATATTATTAGATCAATATTCGCTTTGACCATATATACATGACTTTTTTCGCATCTATTTTAATTCACTCTCTTTTTACGCGTGTTTCGAAATAGTATTACTTTGAAATGGTATTACTAGACTAACAAACTTTACTATCGTTACAAGATGATGAATAAGAGTACTCTAGAGAAGTCATTGTCAAAATTATTTTACAGTATAGAATTATATGATCAGAAAACAAGTGTGAAATAACTGGATTATTCGTTTGTGTGAAGATACTGGATTTGAATTACACAAATATATGAAAAAAATATAAATAAGGACTCTCAATC